AAAAAAAAAAAAGAAAAGAACTTTCCAGACCCTAGGCTCAAAGTGTAAAAAGGCTTTGTCATCTGCAGTGACTTGGGTCCTGAGCAAAGTGGCACCATCTACGCGTGTCAGCCATCAAGGAGGCTGCAGTGCTGTCGCTCGGCTCTGATGTTGCTGTCTTTCCCTTTGCTCTTCCTCCATCCTTCCCTAGACCTTAAAGGTGAGAGGAGTGGACCGCACTCCCTACCTGGGGGATGTCGCTGTGGTTGTGCATCCTGGGAAAAAAGAGATGGGAACGCCACTTGCAGACACTCCTACCCGCCCAGTCACCCGACATGGGGGCATGCGGGACCTTCATGAATCCAGCTTCAGCCTCTCTGGTGAGAACCGGGCATGGTGGAATGCAGGTTGTGTGGGGAGGCAGGGGAACTTGGGCCTGCTTTTCTCTGCATCTCATCCCTCCCCTAACCCCCGTCCAATGATGAGTGCTGGTTCCAATATTAGTGAGGATGGGTGGGCTCTCCTTGTCCGTGGGCACCAGCCACTCTAGCAGGCCATGGCTCTTGCATGGTTTCTAAGTGCAGATATTTTTGTCCCTTGAAACATCTGAAGGGTCACATACACAACAGGGTACCCCAGAGATAATCTGAACTGAGCTGTTTGTGGTGCATGGGACTTCACCCCATCTCTCCCTCTCTGTCCCCAGTAGCCTCTCTGCAGAGCCTGTCCTGCTATTTCTGTAGCCCCTGTCTCCCTCCTCCCTTTCCACACTTGTCTCTGCTCTTGCCCCCGTCTTCACCTTTTTAACCAGGAACTGTATTGCATGTACTTCATTAACTTAGAGTAAAATATTTTCTCTCTTGACCTCTGATCCCCAGTATCTTATCCTTCTGTCCATTGGGTCATGTCTTGGCCCCAGTCCATCTACAGAATCTCTGGGTTCCTTAGTAATGGCCTATTCTGGTTCTTAATGCCAAGACCTGCTGTTTCCTGCCCCTCCTGCCAACTCCAACACGCCCAGCCATCAGCTCCTATAGGTGGCGGCTGTCTGTGTATGGGGATTTTATTATTGTCACAACACACATCTCAGGTTCTTTGCAGAAATTGAGGGGTGTGGGTCATTGCCTCATAAGTGGTGACCCTCAGTGGAGAACAAGAAGAGCTATAAGATGGCCAGGGCCTTCGGGCACCTGTGTCACCACCACATGGGATGGAGAGGGAGCCTGGGTCTCCCTGAATACAGCTGGGTTGCTCTCAGGACTAGTCCAGACAGAGACCAAATGTAACCCATGGGGTGCTGAGACTGTAGGACCTGCCTGCTGACTTTGCTGTGTGCCTAGAAGACAGGAGTTTCCTATTGGAGGTGCAGGTAGCCTGTGGGGAGGGGTTCTCAGAGCCAGTCTTGCTGCTGAAATAATGCCCCCTCCCACCCTGAGGGCCACTGCCACTCCCACCAATAAGACTTGAATGCTGGAAGTCACAAAGGGACCCTTGTGTGGACACTCAGGCCTTGCCAGCCCAGCAGGAATGGACGTGGTCCTTCCCTGCAGCAGCCAGCCCCAGAAGAAGCAGCAAGCCATGGGGCCCTCCCTAGCCAGTGGCCTTTTCTCCTACCCAAGAGTGAGGACTGGGCAGAACTCCGCCCTAGACACAGCAAACATCACACAGTCTGTCACTTCCCCTCCACCCCAAATCTTGTCTGTTCTTGGTGGAAAGGGCTGAAGAATGTCTCACTATCTCTTCTGGAGCATGAGACCCTCCCTTTCTTACTAAGTCTTGAGGTTTCAAGATGTGAAACCTTTGATACATGGTTCATTCATTTTCCAAACAATAGAGCACCCTCCTTTTTCTCTTATTTCACTGAGGCAAATGTAGCAAGGCCTGCATGCTAACAGGCTGGCCCATGGTGCATGTGCATGACAAGAGACCATATGCCAGGCTTGGGGGCTGTGAAGTTGGCATAGTGGGGCAGTTGATATTGTAAGGCTCTGAGTCAGGAAAACCTGGGTTCAAATCCAGGCTCTAGCCCTTGCACACTGTAACACTGGTAAGCCTCAATTGCCTCCTTTGTACAAAGGAATGGTATTGTGAGGATGAAACTAAACAGGATAGCTTAACTCAGCCCCTGCAAATAGCGGGACCTGGGAGAGGGATTGATGCCCAGGCAGGAGAGCCAAGCTCACCCTCTGTGCTTCCTTCCCTGCAGGTTCTCAGATTGATGACCATGTTCCAAAGCGAGCTTCAGCTCGGATCCTCGCTCCCCCCGGAGGCAGATCAAGTGGCATTTGGTAAAGGCACTGCCTAGCCCCCCACGTGAGGATGCACCGCTGCCACCAGCCCGCACAGCCTCCAGCCACAGCTGCAGGGGGCAGGAGAGGCTGGGCTGGGCAGGACACCACCTGAGGGGGCCCCAGGACCCCAGGAGCCCTCCCCGTGTCTGAAACGTGATTCACTGTGCTTTGAGCCAACCCTACCTAACAAGCACTTTGAGATGTGTTCCTTCTGCTTGGTCCTTTCCTGCCTTGGCCTTGGCAGTTTTTTCTGGGGTCCAGGAAGCCCATACTATGCACAGAGCCCACTGCATAGAGCCCTGGCCAGCCCCTCCTCTCATACCTGCCTCCATGTGCTGGCTTCGGGAAAGCCCATATTTAGTGCCCTGCCCCCTGGCTGACTGGCCAGTTGTCCAGAGCACTTTAGCAGACATGTTTAAAAGTAAAGGCCTCCTCCCCACTCCCTTAGGCCCCATGGTGACATTTCCCAAGTCAGACAGGTGTCAGGTTCCCAGCCATGCCCTGGACATCCTGTCCTCTTGCCTCACCTCTGGCCCTGTGTGGGTGTGGTTAGGATAGCCTGTGCCCCTTGCCAGCTTCCTCCACTCCCCACCCACGCCCTCTGGGAATCCCAGGGGGGCAGATGGGTAGCTGGGTGGGGCATGAGGCTGGTGCCAGGCGCGTGTAAATGGTTTTGTTTTGCACGTTTGGTTTGCGCAGTGGTTTGGTTTGACTTGTTTGTGCATCCTGTGAAAAATAACGGTGCTTCGTGTCACTAGCATAGAATAGCAACAGGAATAGATGTGGTCCTTAGGAGATGCTGCACTCGACACCAACCAGACAGCACAGGGCAGAGATGGTGGGGGCTGGCCTCACCGGCCCCTCTTCTCCCCACCTGGGGTCCTCCAGCCTGCCAGACACACTGGCCCAGGCCCTGTCCCCTGTCCTCCCTTCCCAGTCTAGGTCCCCGCGTTCCAAGAGTGTGCCTGGAATGCTAGCCCTGAAGACGCTGGCCCTTCAGGCAGCAAGGTTGACTTTCCCGATCTCTGCCCCTGATCACTGCCAGCACTAACACCTTCCCACACACACACACACACACACACACATAAACACACATATAACTTCCCTGCTGGACAGAATCCTGGAGCTCCTCTGTGCCTCCTGAGAGGGGGAGTGGGAAGGGAACTGGTCAGACACCAGGAGGGAGACCTCAGGCCCACGGGACCTAGTGGCAGAGCCCTCATTGCTGCACAGGCGCTGTGGTCTCCCGCGGTCAGCTCCACACCCTTAGCAGCGTGTGGCTTCATCTCCTACCAAGTCCAGTTGCACCCTCCCTGTCTCTGTAGCTCTGCAGACAGTTCACAGAAACACTAGAGGCTGGGTGAGCTCCATTCACCCCAAGTGATCAGCGCCTGCACTTGTTAATGAAGCCTCGTGTCCCGCTCGGGAAGTGATTTCATGTTGCATATTTGATTTGAGCACCCCAGGCTTGCACAACACTCCTGGACTCTTGACTACTGATCATACCCTGCGCATTTTCATGTTTTCAGACCACTTTCATATACGCCCTCCCTCTTGGTCCTCATGACAATGGAGCATGTATTATTCCCATTTTACAGATGAGGAAACTGAAGCCCAGAAAGTTTAGACCCTCCGACCCTAGAAGTGTCCATGCTGTCTACCCCCACTATGGAAGGGAAGTGTGGGGGTGACATCTACTATAGATCCCACCTGAGAGTTTAACCAGCTAGAAGACTTACCTTCCCTGGTAGGCATTCTGCTTTGTTTTGCACAGGTAGATAGAGTTTTCTCATCTTTATTATAAACATACTAATGCATATTCTCTGTTTGAGCCAGGACTAGTCACAACTTGGGGGCTTGCCACGTGGTTTGAGCTGCATCCACACCCTCACTTCTCCCGTCACTCCCACTTTCCTTACTCAGGGGCTGAGAGGACAGAGGTGGCAACCCAGGGAGCGAAGACAGGGAAGGGGCTCATGGCATGTGGCAGCCATGGGGACAGGAGGATAGGGGTCTGGGCCTGGGAAAGCCACCGTGGATGAGGGAAACCGTGACGTTGACTCCTGGTGCAGTGCACATCATCTTTATCCTTTTCATCCCTTACTGGGTCATGAGCTTTGGGCAGATGCCAAAGAGCCAAGCAGTGGTGGTCGCCAGCTGAGCAGAGCGTCCTGCTTGGGAAAGGAAAGCTTTACCTTCCCTGAGTGCCTCCGCCCGAGAGATGCATGATCCGTGTCGCTAGGAGGCCACGTCTTGGCGTGGTCCTCCGTAGACCTTCCACTTCATCCACCCCCTAGTCCTTACATAGACCCTGCCCTTGCCCAGGAGCTTCTAGATGGAAATCAGGAGGTTCAAGGAGCCAAATGAGCACTCAGCCCCCACCACCCACTCTGCCCACGCAGAGCTCCAGCCAGCTCCATCACCAGCTCCATCACTGGCTCCTGGTTGGAATAAAAAGGGTCTCTGGTTGCACTGAATGCAGCTCTCAAATTGGTCTTGTACTTGCTGAATAAATACTGTTGTTTTTGCCTTAGCTGCTCTCTAGGTTTGTGGGGTTAAGTTACCAGAAAATTGTGCTACTGTGTGTGTGTGTGTGCGTGCGTGTGCATAGTGCTAGGAGTCCACAGTAGGTCTCTGTCAAGCCAGTGTCGTGATGAGGGCTTTTCTGATACTGACCCAGAAGCCACAGAACCACGCAGAAACCCAAAGCCCCTCCAGCTGCTGAGGCGGCAGGCACAGCCTGGGGTCAGGGGGGAGCCACTTGCTCCCCAGCTCCTAGGCGATTTTCTCACTCCTCTGTAAATGTCATGGTGCTAAGATTGTGTCACCCGAGACGACACATGGTCCTGTGCTTTGGCCACCTGTTTGAGGCAAAAACAAAACAGCCCGACACGTTGTGTTCTGGTGCAGGTTTGTATTAAACTGTAGCTACTTCTCACTTGGTCTCTGTTGTGTTTCTTCCAAGAGGGAGTCTGGCAGGGGGCCTCTGCAGTGGCTGGGAGGAGGCATCGGTGCTAAGGAAACAGCTTTGATTCATCTCTCCCGTTGGGTGGCAGATCACTGGGTTGCCAGAGTAGAGTCTGGAAATTTAATAAAAGAGAATGTTGAGTGGCCGATAGCTACCAGTCAACCCTCTCTCCTGAGATTCACTGTGCTTTTTATTTCCAGAATTTCTGATGCGAACAAAATCAAAGTTTTTGGTACCAGATTCCCTGGAACAAGGTTACTAATTTATCTGTAACAGCAATAATTAGAAGGAAGCATTAGATATAAAAGGGGGAAATCTAGACTCTCCCTCCCCCATCTACCTTTAGTCACTTACTGTCTTGGCTACCATTTTGGGAAGTCCATAGCCCTCTCTCCATTCAGTAGAACCCTTTGCTGCTGGAACTATGGCCTCATAAGATCACATAAAAGAGTGAGTGAAATTCTAGTCCCGTGGGTCACTTGTACTTATTTCTTAACCTCAAAATTTGAAACCCTCTTGAGGGTATTTGGGGGAGGGGTGTGGATATTGTTGGTGGCAGAGGAACTCTCATCAAATTAGCAGCCCTTCTCCAGATAACAGGCCATGGTGAAACACCAGAGCACTGCAGCTGGGGTGAAACACTTGGCTGTAATGACGTGGGCTGTGTATATAGGCTCTGGTGGGGCTTCTAAGCCAGGTGTGAACACAGTGGGCAGGCTTGAGATGGATGCCAAGTCCCTGGGATGTACTGAGCCAAAAATCTCTCCATTACCTTGTTTTCCCCTAGCATAGAAGCACACCAGAATAGGATTAACTGCCAAAAATCCACCGTGCTTAGATGGAAAAAAAAAACCACAGCCACATATTTGGCACACCGTGTGCATATGGTATCAGGCAGTCTGCAGAGGAAAAAAAAGATAACCTGGGAAGACCCAGGATGCCTTTGTACATATGTAGTCGTAGTAAGTAATAGTTACCAGTAGTCTCTCATGTATGTAGGAAGAGACCACAGACAGAGACTTTAAAACAAAGCTTGATCATTTATAAGAATCTGCATTTAGGGAAAACGAACCCAGTCAGCAACCAGGCAACCATCAGCCTCAATTTCTTAACTCAGAACCACAGGTTGACTTCCCTCCCATAGTGCTGGGATTTACAGGCGTGAGCCACCATGCCAGGCCTTGACACTCAGCACTTGCTTCTGATGGAAGCTGAGTTCTTTACTTTCTTTCCCGTACAGCCCCCTGTCACTTTCACATGTGTCCTGGTTTGGACAATAAGTTACACCTTAAGTCTACCTGTTTATTCACTGGGGTATTCCTAGGCCTAACCAGGAATTAAGTTTTTTTCCCTCACTGAAACATGAGAGATGGCATGGGGTGCAACAGAAAGCTGGATTCTTCTGCAGTGGCTGATGACTTAGCGCTTCCCTGTGCCAAGCTCTTGGAGGCTTGGTGAATCTCAGCACTGAATGCCACAGGGTAGTGAAGGCCTAGGGATGCGCTTCTAAGCTTTCCAGTTGACCTTAAAGACGATTATTCCATTGCAAGTCGTAAGTCTACCAAATTCTATCATTTGCTTTTAAAGGGCCTTTGATTTCATTTGTGAGCTTGGACACCGTATAACATTTTAAACTACATTTATTATTTAAGCTCCTTTCCCTAGAACAAAATTATTACCAAACTACAAATATAGCAAGTTTAAAGTCTGATTAGATGTTTTGATGCTAAGCATAAATTTAGTAAGATTTCAACTTAAAATCATAAGTTTTAAATTACATATGCTTTTGGTTGAAGTGCTCTGATAGGCCAAAAAATTCTTATAGAAATACATAATGTTAAAGATGCCCAGGTTCCCTCTTAATATGAAAATTTTAATTCTATGGGTTTGGTTCTTTAAAACTTTTATTTTCCTATCCCTGGGCTAAGTTCTCCTTGGGTTTAGCTTCAAGTCTTTTCCTGATGGCAGGTCAGCTCCTAGAGGACACGAGAAAGGTCTTATCAGCTTCATTCAAGTGGCTCAAATCACATTTT